AGGGGGGCCAGAGTCGAGTTATCTGCTCCCCTCTCTCCTCTCTCTCTTTCACACACACACCACACATACTCTCTCTCTCTCTCTCTTCCTCTCTCTCTCTCTCTCTCTCTCTCTCTCTCTCTCTCTCTCTCTCTCTCTCTCTCTCTCTCTCTCTCTCTCTCTCCCTCTCTCTCTCTCTCTCTCTCTCTCTCTCTCTCTCTCTCTCCTCTCTCTCTCTCTCTCTCTCTCTCTCTCTCTCTCTCTCTCTCTCTCTCTCTCTCTCTCTCTCTCTCTCTCTCTTCTCTCTCTCTCTCTCTCTCTCTCTCTCTCTCTCTCTCTCTCTCTCTCTCTCTTCCTCTCTCTCTCTCTCTCTCTCTCTCTCTCTCTCTCTCTCTCTCTCTCTCTCTCTCTCTCTCTCTCTCTCTCTCTCTCTCTCTCTCTCTCCACTACTCAAACAGAAATGCAAGATGACTATCTAGCACCTGCAGAGCTACCCACATCACCACCCCCCAGTAACATCTCCGCTCCGGCAGACACCTATCTACCGTCAGTCGAAACGAAAGCACGCGCCTCATCAACGTTTGGCATCGGCAAGGAGATTGAGACAGCAAACTTAGGCGAGAGCAACCCGTACGCGTCACGCAAGGAGGCCAATCCCTACGCCTCGCGTCAGCAGATGAAACTCCCCAGTCCTCCGCCGGTAGGGCAGGAGAATCCGTACCAGACGCGCAAGCAGACGCAACCGTTGCCCAAGGCGCCAGCGGATTCGAATCCGTACGCGTCACGGCAACAAGTGAAGCTGCCGCCGTTGCCCGACAAGCCCCCGGCACCAGTAGCACCCATGGCACCCATAGCACCGCGCGCTCCGGTCAACGACAAGATTATCATCAACACGCAGGCCATCTTTGTGCAGAAAGCCGATGCGGTGAGTGGACATGCAGTCGTAACGACCACGTGCTGTGCTGTTGCAGTACGTTATTTTGTGTGCATGTCGTGTGTACGTGGTGTTGGTGCATGTGCGTGTTGCTGTGGTGTGAAAACCCGTCTTCGTTTTGAGTTCGTCATGTCTAGTTGTGTTTCCGTCGTCTTGTCGTAATAAATATGGTCTTCCAAATGTTGTTACTGTCGTCCATAGTATGAGTGTGGAGATGGCACAGGGCTGGGAGCAGGTTGAGGAAATCCAGTAACGACAGTAGTTCAGTATAACCTATCAAGGCGACCACTCAGATAAGGCAATCACCTGTCCTAGAAGATGACTGAAACCAGCGTAATTGAATGTTATTCTCAGTCAAATGACACTGGATTATATGGAGACCAACTGGTAACAGAGACAACGTTTGAAGGTCCTTGACCGCTCGGCTTAGACGGAGACCACCTGGTAATAGAGACCACGTTTGAAGGTCCCTTGACCGCTCGGCTTAGACAGAGACCACCTGGCAACAGAGACCACGATTGGAGGGTCCCTTGACCGGTCGGCTTAGACAGAGACCACCTGGGAACAGAGACCACGATTGGAGGGTCCCTTGAGCGGTCGGCTTAAACAGGTTTCATTGTGTCTTGTAGCCTATCTGTATGCCAACATGCCTAGCGATCACGCAGACATGCATTGGCACAGTCTGTAGCCATCATCACCATGAGCTCAAAATTCAAAATGGCTTTTTCCTGCCCCAAGTTGAAATTGTCGCACTTCAAGGACAATTGAACGCTCATATAAGCACAACAGAGGGAAATTGTAACCTTCTATTAAGCAGCATAGAGGATAATCTAGCCAGGGTGCTCTATATCTGATAAATAATTATGTGAGAGCTACCTGCATGCTTCATGCCGTGTTATCCTGGATAAAAGTCACACAGTTACAAGAAACCTCCAGGTTTATGGAATTAAAAGGGGTCGTGCCTCACAATCAACGGTGACGTGCTACTCAAGTGGGCACACTGCAACCATACAGCAAAGACTTGCGGAGAGATGGCACTTTAAAAACGTATACCATTGGCTAGTTTGTATTTTTAACTTTGTGTATGTTTTGCCTCTGTCATTCCGTTTCTCTCTCTCTCTCCCTCTCCCTCTCCCTCTCTCCCCCCCCCCCCCTCCCTCCCTCTCTCTCTCACTCACCCACTCATACTCTGCACAGAAATTCAAGTTTGAGCAGGTGTTTGTCGCTCTATGGGACTACCAGCCGTCGGCAAGCGATGAGCTCGGCTTCCGCCGTGGTGATCTCCTGTACATTGAGGATATCATCCAGGACACGGACTGGTGGGTAGGAAGGAAGAAGAGTGCGTACGATGAAGACACGTTCACTGGTGATCGGGGGCTGCTCGTGTCCACGTATGTATCGCCAGCGTACGAGAAGCTAATCTGACGTTCTGGCACGCCGCAGACTGACTCTGTGAATATGCTGGAAATGATAGTAATAGTTACAGTTCGTATGTCACTCATGGTATGATCCATGGGCTCAATGCATCTGCCAATGAAATCCAGGCAGAAGATCCAGGCAGAAGGCCGGCAAGCACATGTTAAACTCTGTGGCGGTGTGGGATAACTCCGAGCGGCGGCATAACGGTGTTGTGTGCGTGTGTTAGGTCATGACGAATGGCTGAGTGACTGGAGCTGTTTGTTTGGGAGCATCGCCAACTGGATCTGTTTGTCTGCTGGATCTGTTCGTATCGAGTGCTGGACATACGAGTGCTGGACATTCGAGTGCTGGACATACGAGTACATGTACTAGCTGTTAGCTGCCATCCTCCAATGATACTGTCAGTTTTCCATGGACCCATAGACAGCACACGATGGTGAACAATTCTATACATGCAGCTGTGAAACGTTGCACTGTCTGCTCTGCTACAAAGGACTTGATAACAGTAAAACGTGCATCGTGTCGGACATGACTCTCTCGGATAGCCACATGACTAAGTATAATATATTCCGCATGGACAAGCGCTTACTTGAACATGTGTGTGTGCTGCATGTGCCCGCTCACACACATAAACATACACACGTAGATATTGGTTGTAGAAGATAACAACCCGTTAGCCGTTGCCGAGCACAAGTTTCTTTCCGGTTCATTATTTACACCATAGATCGTTACACAGAACAGTTAGGGGCGAGGCTAGTTGCTTGAAACTCGCCCCGCACAGAGGACAGTCGCAAACTACGTTAGATTTTTAGAGATAGTATTTTTTTAACTTAACGACCGCAGCCAGCTGTAGCCAACTTGATCTTGTTTACCCTGCGGAGATTCGGTCTCCATTTTGCTGCTTCAGCTGTCATGATTGCCCTGTTCTCAGAGCACTAGCACTAGCAGTCAAGACATAATACCACTGCAGGCCTGCTAGGTGTATGTGTGTTGTTGAGCTAACAATCTGCTCGCTTTCACTTCCTTCCGCACGTCTTTTTGGTTTATCTTCCTGTCACGGTGCAGTTTTGCTCCAGTTTCTTCTTGCTTCCGTGTAGTATACTCATAGAGAGGAAGAGCACTGCGCAAGAGAGTGCATGGTTTATGGTTTTAAGTTTGGAACGGTTGTAGCAATGTTGCGGTGAGCTGTTGACACCTGCAGTAGTTCTGGTTGAACTCCTGAATGTGTGTGTGTGTGTGTGTGTGCGTGCGTGCGTGCGCGCGCCCGCGCGTGTGTGTGTGCGTGTGTGTGCGTGTGCGTGCATGCGTGTGCGTGTGCATGTGTGTGATGGATGAGTGTTGCCACATGTGGTGCCATTGCCTTTCTCGTGCAGTGCGGCGATTCCCCTCCACTCCGCACACCTCTGTTCTCTCTATCGTCATGGATAGCGTGCATTGATGTGAACGTCAGGGAGCAGTATAATGTTGTAGTTACATGCTGGTACCATCCCAGCTGCACAATGCCTCCCATGCCTCTCCCTAGTAATACTGTTGTTTGGCCGTTTGCATGGCAACCGTTGAATCTCAGTACTCCACGACCCAACCCAAACTCTTGGGCCGGGTTCGAGTTCTCAGTTACCATGGAAATGACATTGGCAGCGCAGGGAGAAGTTCCCTTCCGGTCGCGAGGAAAACCATAACCATATCCACTGGAGTAAGAAATCCTATAAGTCAAAAACAGTTTGTAGGATGGTAGGGTGGGGATGGTGGCTTTCCAGCTTCTGAAACTCACTACGGCCAAATTTTTCAGAAAAGTTTCGAAAAAAAGTTTCAAATCCCTAGGCCCTGTCCTCCTCTTTCTCAGCCGACATGTGTCTCACCAGTACTCGCTCCCAGACAAACACCTCACACCCAGCCTATCATGCCATGCCTATGTAAGATGGCGATGCATGTACACTAGTCACTATTGTACATCTATAAATCACATCAGCTCAACACTGGAGACATGCATCACATGGTCATCATCCAGGCTCATACTTCAGTCTATCATGATGTCACGCCTATGTAAGATGGAGATAGTCATGTACACTGCTGTACATCTATAACTAACTTGATCACATCAACCCAACACTGGAGATCGAGAGATGCATCACATGGTCATATCATCGATATTAGGGCTCATACCGACTGTAAGCGATGATGTCACAAGACTACTGTCATGACGTCATTGTACTGACATTGATGATGGCTGTGCTGATTTTTCAGTCAAAAAAAGATTCCAGCATTGAGTTAGATCAGATTACTTGCCAACACCGCACCACACACCACACACAAGCCCCACGAGAGAACAAGTCACTAACCGCTTCGCCACATGACCCAGTTGACTAAAGTAGAGCAAAGGTCACACTTCAATACTCTGTGTGTGTAGAGAACAATGGTTATATGAGCCACTGACACAAGCAAGTAAAGCTGGGAAGGGAAGCTCACACAAGCACAGATGGGACTCCCACACTAGCAAAGATGGGACCCTCACACAAGATCGGATAAGGCGACTACCTGTCCTGGAAGACCCATTGCACTGTAACCAGCACCAAGGGATGCTATTTCCAGTCAAATGACCCTGGATAAGGAGACCACCTGGTAATAAAGACCACATTTTGTAGGTCCCTTGAGCGGGGGTCGTCTTACACAGGTTTCACTGTAATTATAGTTTTCTGCATGCCAGTGCCAATACTAGTAGCATCACTAGGCTTGTGGCATCACCAGTCACAACACCAACATTCACCAGTGACATCACCAGTGACATCACCAATGACATCACTAGTGGCATCACCAGTCACAACACCAACATTCACCAGCATAGACCACCAGTGACACGGAGAACACGCACACGCGCATCACATGATACTTTGCAGTACCCTACACGCACTGCAAGTGCTGCATGGCAATCCGAATTCAGTTGAGATAAGGGAATAAACTAAGGCGGCGATGAGGTACCTACAAAAACTAAGGCAAAGTGGTATTCTAATAATGATTCACCTAAAAAACCTATCTCGGCAGGAGTTACACTTGAGCTCAGTACTCAACGTATGTGCTAAAGCTGGGTGGGTGGGGGGGGGGGCAGGGGAAAGGGCAGGGGAGGGGGGAATGGAAAGTTCTAGCAGCACCTGTCTATGGAGGGCCTGCACATTCCAAGCTGAGCACAGAAAAGCTAGTATAACAATACTTTTTTAACTACAGTACAAATACTGCTTGCGAGCGAGTCAGAAAATAAAGGATAACACAGGAGAGTAAATTGAGAAAGTGGAAATGTCCTGGGAGCTGCACTGGGATCATAGTAGTACAAGGTGGCAGGGTTACAGTCCGAAACAACTCAGATGTGACACTTTGCTTGGCAAATATGCGCGGGGGCCAGTGGGCACGTCATGAATGGATACACTCCCCATCATAGATCATGGGAAGTGAGAGTGGCGGCAGCAGCAGCAGCAGGGATAGAGGCTAGAGCCACCCGGTACCAGTTACTGCATTAGTGGAAACTCACTTCAAAAATATAGAAAATAATAGAAGCTTTGACAAACTAGAGATAGAAGTGGGCATAGACATGACATGCTGATGCAACAAATAGTTACAAGAAAAAACACCCACACGCACACACACATGCACACGTACACACACGCACGCACGCACACACACGCACGCACACACACACACCCACACGCACACACACACACACACACACATATATATACACACACACACAAACACACACAGAGCCTGGGACAGAACGATACCATTCCGTACAGACACAGTACACCCTCACGTGTTGCGCTATCAATGGCCGTGGGAACCATACCCAGTCGGAGAGACATTCTAGGCTACTGACTTGAGAAGATTGCGAATGTCCTCCATGGCAAGAAGTAACTGGTTGGTGAACTTCTCGGAGTTGTTCTCTGGGCAAGTCTTCAAACATGAGATGAAATAGTAAACTGGAAGAGACCACCGGTGAAGAAAACACAAAACAAAAATATCATGTTAGCCCGGGGAAGACTGTCGGCAGGAAAACTTGCAATGCACACGATGATCCCACTTTATGGGGACAACAAGGATAGGGAGGATGAAAAGGACAAGGAGGACAACAAGAACAGGGGGGATGAAAAGGACAGATGCCAACATATCATTGTTCAGTCAATAGCAACCTCGGGAAAAAGAACAACAACAACACAAGGATAACAGTGCCATTGGTGAACCTATCAACCACACGGCACCGACATCGAGAGCAACCAGGACCATGTAAGTGAGAGAGCGAGGGAGAGTGTGTGTGTGTGTGTGTGTGTGTGTGTGTGTGTGTGTGTGTGTGTGTGTGTGTGTGTGTGTGTGTGTGGAGAGAGAAGAGAGAGAGAGAGAGAGAGAGAGAGAGAGAGAGAGAGAGAGAGAGAGAGAGAGAGGGAGGGAGGGAGGGAGGGAGGGAGGGAGGGAGGGAGGGAGAGGGAGGGAGGGAGGGAGGGAGGGGAGGGAGGGAGGGAGGGAGGGAGGGAGGGAGGGGGGAGGGAGGGAGGAGGGAGAGAGAGAGAGAGAGAGAGAATTCCACACAAAGACAGACATGAGTGAACAAGCAACCCCTTTCTTACTTGTATCTTCTCCATTGAAGATGTAAGACACACCGTAGCCTGTCTTAGTAACCGGACCGAATCCTCCGCCAAGACAACACTTCTCCGGTGTCCAGAAGTCTGCTAGCTTGGTTGGCGTTTGGCTGGTGCTTAGGTCATAACGCAGCGATGACCATGCCTTCACACGGGCGGGCAAAATGTACAGAACATAAGAATGAACGAAATCAATAACTCGGCCGAATCAACACAAGACGCTGACAGGCTGGTGCTATAATTATAATACAAACAGGTCGCATACTGCCCCCATCAACAAATCATACGGGGTCATGGTTCTGTCAATGATTGTTAACCAGAGTTGCTTGTTGGTGGCGAGATTGAGACGTTCCCAAATTGGCACATTCAGTGGTGCTGTCCACTCCCCGAAATGGTGTACAAGTGGCGCATAAAGAGAATGTGTGAACAGTTGTGGAAGTTTAAATCCGGCAGAATGAAAGGGGCCGGCGCCCTAGTTGCTTTTTAGCGCGTACATGCACTCGGTATCCAAAATCACTTCTTGTCAGAAGAAGTGAAAAATTCGGCAATAGGGTCAACGGTGAAAATGTAACTTTGTCGGAATACTGTAGAACGGGTAATTTTAGCGACTATTAATTTTAGCGTTTTCCCATTGTCAACCGGTTAGCGACGTTTTATTTTAGCGATTTGGAGCAATTTTACTCACGGATCACCAGTGCACTAATAATGTCTCAACGGATTAGCGACTTGAAACTTTAGCGAAAAGGAGTCGATCGCTAAATTTGCTAGGGTTTTTACGTCGCTAAAATTACCCGTTCTACAGTACACTCACCGAATGTAGTACAAGAAGCCTCTTGTACAGGGAAAATAACATAATGATTGCATGGCTGATTGCTTAATGATTGCACGGCTGATTGCTTAATGATTGCATGACTGATTGCCTAATGATTACATGAGCTCATAGTACTCACTGGATCCCGGAATATCTCTGGTGGTGTTGAGCTATCTAGCATGCTCATGGCGTACAGACCAATGAGATGACGGTCTATTCCATGACCTACCACGGCGTCTACCTTGCGCTCCGTCTGTGTCCTGGATAGCAAGCAACAACATTAATGCATACACACGCGCACATGCACACATTCACACACACACACACACACACAGACACACAGACACACAGACACACAGACACACAGACACACAGACACACAGACACACACAAATCGAGAGCACCAGTGAGCGGTCTGCATTCTACAGTACAGGAGCTGGTCTGTTGGTCTAGGGGTATGATTCTCGCTTAGGGTGCGAGAGGTCCCGGGTTCAAATCCCGGACAGACCCGAATTTTTGTCGCATGGTACTTTTTTCCTGTGCCTAATAAGGCCTCGGTCACACTTCGGCAAGCTTGAAGCTGGACGCAGCGTCAAGCCGCAGCACTTGACGCAGACGCGGGGTCACACAGTATTTTGTTCTTTGCAACTCACGTCTGCCGCGGCCTGACACACTTGTGTACGTCACAAAATCACCAGGGAAACTCAATGACCACACGGATCCCCACGGAAACTGGCCTGTTGTTTATCATACAAAAAAATTGTCGGACAAAGTTTTCAAATTTTTCATTGATTTTTCATTTATTGCAAGAAGACAAAAGGTCCACGATCGTTGTTGTTTCTTTCCTTTTCAGTTGTAGTGTCATGGATCAGGCAAGGAAAGTCCGCATCGCAGCTGTGTTTCTCCTGACTTCGTCAAACTGGTTGTCTTTTTTTTTGCTCTTGGCGACAACAACACCCACAAGTCAACAGGCTCCAGTTGAGCGATGACCCTCTCCGATGATACTGGTCCTTTTTCGACATCATTTTCTTCTCAGAAAACGCCTCGCTCTTCCGCCAGGTTCGGAGCAGAGCAGCCTCGGCCTTGTAGGTCCACGGACTCATGTCGAAAAAAAGAGGGAACAAAATAAACCTTGAAGAGACGAATTTCGAATGACTGCTCAACTCGAGCAACTGTCTTGAAAGACATTCTGTTTTTTACTTTTTCCGCCAAGCGTCACTCCCCGGTCAGCGGCCACGTGCCGGCAATGCAGCCGATTTCCCCACGTCAGACGCAACAGCGTCTGACGCTCAAATTTCCCGCGTTTGCGTCAGTTGCCATGGAAAGGGTCATGATTCTGACGCTGACGCAGCAATTTTACCGTAGTGTGACCGAGGCCTAAGGTAACTCAAGCCTTGGTGTTCATAGAAGACCAGACCACACACTGCTGATTTAGTAGATCTCGTTTGACTAGTCCACGCCCATACAATTTTCTTCAGTAAGGCATTAGAACTAATCAGTTGACAGACAGCTACCGTATTCTACCGCTTATAAGTCAACCTCTTACGACTAAATATGAAGGAGAAAAGTTGGGGGTGGACTTACAACCGGGATTCAACTTATAACCGGGAAGTATTGCGAACTTCCAAAACTGACCTGCACTGCATTCACTAGTGCACCATGTGTACGCATTGTTGTCGGTTTATTCGCCTTTTTTCTCAGGATTTGCACGTTCCACCCTCCCATGAGGAGTGTTGATGTGATGTGTTACTAGCAGGGAGTGGTTAGCAGTGCTTGGTTGGGTGAAAACTTTAAAAACAGAAATAATAGTTAATACCGGCCTTCGGATCCGGGGGGGGGGGGGGGGGGGGGGGGAGGCGACCAATAACCGGTAAAATACGGTAACATATTGACATGCACGTACTTCAGTGAGACAGGTTTGCAGCACAAGCAGCACACGTCTAGCACACGTCTAGCACACGTCTAGCACACGTCTAGCACACGTCTAGCACACGTCTAGCACACGTCTAGCACACGTCTAGCACACGTCTAGCACACGTCTAGCACACGTCTAGCACACGTCTAGCACACGTCTAGCACACGTCTAGCACACGTCTAGCACACGTCTAGCACACGTCTAGCACACGTCTAGCACACGTCTAGCACACGTCTAGCACACGTCTAGCACACGTCTAGCACACGTCTAGCACACGTCTAGCACACGTCTAGCATAGGGGTGAAACGAACATCGAATTTTGAATACGAACGAACTCTCACACTAACGAACGAACTCGAACGAACATTCTCCATTATGTATTTCAAGGGTGAATTTTTTTGAAGACCATACAGTCTGTCAGTACAGGCGTTCTCTGTACTTGGCTGGCCACAGTTCAGTATTGACGGTGTACGTACGATACACTGCCAGAACAGAAATATTTTTTTATCGCGTCCGCCTGAGTTGAATCACAGGGTTTTGCAGCTAGCTGCAAAGTCCATCACCATCGTCCGGACGAGAGTTTTCTTCTCATCGCTAGCTCAGGTTGTCTTGTCAGAGCAGGAGAACGGTACTTCTTGACGTGGGTACGAAGATTTCTCGTCGTCGCTCTGCTGTGTGATAGAACCTTTTTGAAATTGAGAAAAGGACTTCGTCTTTCCCGACCACTTTATCAAATTCCGCTCCAACTCCGGATCGCGATGAAAGGCTCGAATGTTTTGACATGATTGCAACGAGTGCACGTTTGCTTTCAGGAACAGATGTCACAAGCGACTCGAATCCTTTCACTACGAGTACAAATCTAACTCAAACGGACACACAGAAATATTTCAAGAAACTGTGTCCCGACGCGACACTCAACTCCTTCAACTTGCTTCAAGTGATCATCAAGGCAAACGCAGTCGATCAGCGTGCAAGCTCGCGATCTCCCAACCTCCGCGGCTCCTTCGTGATCTAGTCACAAGCACTCTTTATGCTTGCTTGCTGTGTTCGTTTATCAATCTTGCGAGTTCGTTCGTTCGTTTTCAAATTTTTCGAACGAATATTCGAACTTTCGTTCGTTCGTTTCACCCCTAGTCTAGCACACGTCTAGCACACGTCTAGCACACGTCTAGCACACGTCTAGCACACGTCTAGCACACGTCTAGCACACGTCTAGCACACGTCTAGTTCACACCATCCCGACCACCTTTCCTCGCGCACTCGGACACAGAGTTCTCCCTTTCTCCCACAACACACCATCTTGTTCCATACAGTACTGTTGGGCGCCAAATAACTGGGGGTCAGGGTTCTAGCCTAGCCCGTTCTTATTTTTAGCCAACACAGCAGTTTCGTTTCAACTTTCGTTCTTATTTGATGGTACAGTCTTACATGTACATTTATACAGAGTTATACGTCTGAGAGTACATAAAAGTGTACATTACGGTTTCCCTTCTCATCTTCAAAAAATCCAGCCTACAGCGTAGACCCTTCTTAAAAATTGTTGAAATTCTAACCTGGCCGTTCTTCGGCGCCCGACAGTACTACAGCACAGCATCTTGTTCCGTAGCACACTGTGACTTACTTGATTGCAGACTTGACGAGCTTTGCTACGTGTTCACGGCTCACTGACGGATCGTCAATGGACTTGCAGAACTCAATCGAGTCGTGCGACACCGGTCGAATAGTCTCCGTGCGGCCATGATAGAACATACTGTACACGTGCACAGACATGCATGCATACGTGTACACAGACACACACACACACACACACATATGCACACACGTGCACAAACAGACATGTACACGTGCCCAAACAGACGCATACACGTCCACAGCCGCATACACATTCAAGCGATGGCAGAGAGAGAGAGAGAGAGAGAGAGAGAGAGAGAGACACACACACACACACACACACACACACCGTCAAAGTACACGTGTATGCCAGTGAATCCCGGTCTAGGGAGCTGACTGACGGACGAAGGAACAATCAGAATGCTGTCAGTTCAAACATGCCAGCCACAGCAGAAGCTAAAGAACACTGAGTGATACAGCATACTGTGTTGCTTGCCTACTCCCCCCCTCCCTCCCCTCCCCCCCCCCCCCCCCCCCCTCTCCCCTCCCTCCCCTTGCCTACTCCCCCCCCCCCCCCCGGACTCAACCCCCGACTATAATACTATAAAGTTACATCATCAGTTGAGGTGCGTTGGCAAAGTCGCGGGCACAGCACCACGAGTTCCCATAAGCACACAGTACAGAATAATATTATCATGATACCAGGTACATGTATGGTTGCATGTAGTGAGGTTCATTCTAGATATGCACTTACCGAGTGGACGCTGATTCATACGTCAGCGAGAATTTCTGATGCAGACGATAATAGGCCAGTTGTATAACCATCTGTGCAGCAAACAACACCAACCGACAGACCGGGAAAAACAACACACCGTAACACTGATTGTAGTTAGTGTGCTAAAGAGAGATGTGTGTGACACAGCAGCAGCAGCAGGGTTGTATGCAGGCTCTCTCAACCCTGTTGCAGTCAAGCCTGCCAGCCAGGATAGCACTTTTGCTAGTTTTGGTCGGTGTTTAGCAGGTCAGATATGACACTTGGTACCCTGAAAGTCAGCCGCTGGTTGCGCAAAGCAGGTGGTCACTGTATCCGGTGCAGTTTCTGTGTAGAACTGTCCGTGCATGGAGAAACGGCTGTTACAAGCAGGTGGTCGCTTTTAAAAACCAGTTTTACTGTACACACGTGTGCATGCACGTGCACATACAAATCCACACACACACACGTACACACACACACACGCGTACCTGGGTGAACCCGTCCGGGCTCACTCGGAGGCGTTTCATCTCTCCCTTGCCGAATGGAGAGTTCATAACACACTTATCCACCGTCTGGAACTGCACAGTAAGTGAAAGAATGGAGAAACAATGGAGAAACAATGGAGAAACAATGGAGGAAGAATGGAGGAAGAATGGAGAAACAATGGGCAACAAAATTGCACCCCAATTAAGCAGCAATAGTATCAGCAGCAACACCAGCAACAGCAAGGAACAAAGAGGAACACACACATGCGTACACACACATGCGTACACATACATGCGTACACAGACGAGAATACGTGTTGCATGCTGTGAAGGGTGACAGCAATGCTAAGTTAATTACCAGAGTTAGGTTGGATTGCCTTGCCGTCTCTATCTCCTCTGAAAAGTCATCCAAATCCCAGGCAAGCCTGCAGAGGAAGAGAATCCAAACATGAGGAGTGCAGGAAGAGATACGAACTACAAAAAAGCAGCATCACCACCATTCTCATCCGTCAGTGTCAGCAAAAGCTTGGCAAGCTGTGATGTCAGCCCACTAGGATGCTGGGACTGTGTGGTTGGTCTGTTGGTCTAGGGGTATGATTCTCGCTTAGGGTGCGAGAGGTCCCGGGTTCAAATCCCGGACAGACCCAATTTTTTTTGCCACGGTACTTTTTTCACTCGTTTGGGGCGAGAGTAGTGAGCGGTCATATCAAGGCTGCGTTAGCACGACAACATACGGCCAGTTTTCAGTTTTCGATCCCGTATTTCTTCATAGCCCCTTTTCCGTTTTGGTGTGTTTACACAATCCGAGCTTATCAGAGCTGACCTCCGGTGGTATTAGCCAATTGCGCATTGCCAAATATGGAAGGTATGAGTAATGCATGTGAGTACGCTGGGATCAGGAATGCACTGTTCAACACCCCAGACGACCATGCCCAGGTGGCTGGGTGGGGTGTTTATGTTACAAATTTCGTCATTGCGCAATGGGCGTGTTGCTTTCAGGCGTATAAACGGCGCACGAAGGATAAGTGAGAGTTTGTCATGTGAGCACAGTAGTCATGGGAGCATCAATCACAGTCAAGAAATAGTTGACAACACTCCTTACGACACCACTGACTCCTTACATGACGAACACGTGCACGGATCCTTCGCGATCCGTGTGGATGCACGAAAACGATACAAACATGACGATAACGAGGCCCAGCACACTGTTTCGACTGTTCCGATATGTCCAAATTTTTTCCGGCAGAAGACTTTCGTTTCAAAATTCTTCCACCTTGACCTGTGTTTTGATTCAATCTGTTTTGGTGTACAGCTTTCCTGCTTTGATGCTTATAATATAGAGCAAAAACGAACCTTATACCTCACTCCATACACAGTAAAACCTAGTGTAAGCGACCTCTGGGTTTAGTCACCACCTGCTGTTAACGACCGTTTTTCCATGCACCGACAGTTCTACACGGACACTGCGGGACCTGGTTCTCTTGAAAGACCACCTGGCTTTAACGACCGTTTTTGCTTGCACCGTGGGGTGGGGTGGGGAGGTGGTCACTTAAACCAGGTTTTACTATACACCCACAATCTGAGCTCAACTATTTCGCGTACGGGAAACCCATCGCGCGATGGGTTTCCCGTACGCGAGATGAAGTATGAATCAGGCTTAAGACTGCAAGTGTATATGGAGTGTCAGTGAGGTATAAAGCTGTAGTAGACCTATGACCACAAGCTGGTCTGTTGGTCTAGGGGTATGATTCTCGCTTAGGGTGCGAGAGGTCCCGGGTTCAAATCCCGGACAGACCCAACTTTTTTGTAGGTAGGAAGATGGCACCGTTCTTTTCTCGGCACATAAGCCACATTAGGGAGGTTCCAGAGTACGATTTTTCGTGCCAAAATCCGTAGAGGCGCTACGGATTTTTTATACGTCGTTTTTGAGCAGTGAAATGTTCCGGAGTACGAAACTTACTATTATTATTATTATTAGACACAATCTCATAGCATGTGACAAGCATAGCTAATGCAGGGACAGAATCTCCTGAGACAAGGGCGTTGAGCCAGCCACGGCAATAGTAAGCTAGGAAAACAAAGCAAATATGAATTAGAGCAGAAAATGACACGTACGTGTTTGCCGTCATTGCCTAGGTTACGATCGGAAACACGTCACATTCCCGCGCCATGCCTTTTTATTTTGAAAATTTGTACCGAAATCAAAACTTCCCGCGGAAAATCTATGTTTCTCGTACCTAATTTGTACGCGAAAAATCTTTCTGCACCCGATGACGCAAAATCTCCATACGAAACATGGTTCGTATGAAAGCCAGTCCACACGGATTCTCCGTGCCGAAAAATCGTATGGAGCACGCCTGGAAAAAATCCGTAGCGCCCATACGGATTTTGGCACGGAAAATCGTACCCCGGAACCTCTCTATTATTGGCGACAGTAGTTAAAACCAACCCACAACGGCTATGTCAAATATGACGTAAAATTGTAAAGGAAGTATTAGCCATTGTGTGCCATATTTGCACAATTATCTTGTACTATAAATTGTGCTTGCTTGGCTTGGGCAAACCCTTGCCAGCTAGCTAGCCGCGACGCGAGCTGCAATGTTTAGTTCCCCGGCGTTGTTCAGCAGACTTACTGCAAGACACTGCTGAGCTTTCTCTCTGGCTTGTCAGTGGGCGGTAGGTCTCCGTCAGCTGTGTACTGTTCGTGGTGAAGGCAGTACTCCCAGATACGCGCCCATACCTACACCGGAACACACGTATATGCATGTGAACACATACACACACATGGATGTGCACATGCACACACGAACAAACACGCATATACATACATATACACACACACACACACACACACACACACACACACACACACACACACACACAGCAGTTGCTCGGTATGCTGGCAACACTGCTATGCTGCAGAGTACAGAATTCCTGATGGAGAAAATTAAAGTACACATTTGAAACTGAAGATACACCTCAAAAGAGTACTCCACCGTAGCTATTTACAAATTGCACAGACTCAGTGACTGCTCGCCCTTATGATGGGCCAGCCCCGAATATTATGGTGAAGAAAAGGATGGCTTCATAGCAGAGTTGAACTCGGATGTGAGCCAATTTAGTTAGGGTAAAAAAAAAAAAAAGGAAAAACAGGTTGTTGGTTTGTGCCTTGGAGAAGTGTTGGAGCTAGGTGTCAGGTTGTTGAGTGTCTCCGTACTCCTTGTCAGTGTTGTGCCATTTCGTCGCACTTGCTGACTGTATAAGATCTGGTTACATTGGTGGACAATTAGTCATAACTCGTAACATTTTGTCCTTATCCCTTTTTATTATAGCAGAGCGAGCATTGACTGTGTGTTCACAGCAAGACAAACAAAACCCTTCCTTGTAAGCTTACAGTTGCATCCGTAGGAGCATGTTCAATGTTTGTTCCGACGATGCCGTTGGCACAAATGATCATTTCATACGTCTTGTCGAAGAAACGATTAGCGCCATTGCCGGTGAAGCAGCAGAGTGCGATTTCCGTATCGGTCTACACAGGAACACACGGAAACATGCATAAGGCCACATTATACGAACAAAACATACGTATTCATACAGACAGACAGATGGGTGGACGGATGGATAAATACACCAACATGGACACACACAAACATGCGTACACACAAGCATACACACACACACACACACACACACACGGACTTGCACACGCATGCACGTGCATACACTCAAGCGTGCACACACACACTCTCACACACACACACACACACACACACACAAACACACACACACATGCATGCACACACACACACACACACACACACACACACACACACACAAAACACACACACGCACGTGCACACACAAGCACAGAGCAAACAAAAACACGACAGCGACAAATTATCCGCGGTGTGTACAGAGACCAGTGACCTCACACTGAAGTAGCGTTCAATGACTCCACACTATACTAGTGGTGTTTAAGAATGTTCTATTACTGTAAAACGGCTAATTTTAGCAACGGTGATATTTAGAGACTTTAGCGAGAGGATTGTTTTTGCTAAAATTTTGCCATGCCAGTCGAAATTCTGTATGTACGAGTACAGTACTTGTCATCATTCTTTTTAAACTCTCAAACTCGCATCACTAAAATATTTCATCGTGAATCGGTCGAGATTCAGAAAACGCTAAAAATTGTACCCGCTAAAATTAGCCATTCAACAGTTCACATACTGGTAGTTGATACCGTATTAACAATATTGAAGTGCCTGTCGTTGGCTCCTCTTGGATTTCATTGACAGCTACGTTAAGCCCATGGAACCTTCCATAAGTGACATTAGAACTGGATGAGTAGATATTGTTACTACAGTCAGACCTCGCATATCCAGTCCTCGTTTACCCAGATCCCTCGCCATCCGGAAGAAAACCGTTGCTTACCGATTTAGAGCATATGCCATGCACACATACAGTATGTGTGTTCGAGTATCCGGTTCCCTCGCCTATCTGGATATTTGTTTTGTGGAAAACGGATGTGTGCGGCTATGCGAGGTCTGACTGTAGTATAGCTGCCATTAGCTGGTCATGGGAGTCTAGTCTTGTGTAGTGTAGTGTAGTGTAGTGTAGTGTAGTGTAGTGTAGTGTAGTGTAGTGTATTGGAGTGTATTCTTACCTCCGGTTCACTGTCGTCAAGGATCACCATCAACGCGGCTGTTTCAATGGCCTCCAGCGATGCACTGTTGGTTTCGTTGCCACGCAAGCGGGCATATTGCTGCACGTGCACACACAAAGCAAACGTACCGTACGGCTGGTCAGGCAATGATTGGACCAACTCCTTGGCCACCAACACGTGTTAACTGCTGTGTGGGTTATGTGTACGCGCCATATCATACACAAACTGTATTAAAGACAATGATGTGGCCGGACCGATCAAAAACTGCTCCTGCCGGTTCTGCCGACAAAGGAAATTGGCGTCACGGATTCATTTCCACGTGTGGATACCTAGCCAACACCCAGACAGGCTGTGTTGCCCGAGAAAGAAGTTGAATGCACACTAGAAAACACCACCTTGATCTGCTTTCAAACAGTGGGAGGTATGCATCTAAGATGGTTGTCACCTTTTCGCAGGGCAAGTTACCCTATACTTGGCAGGTACGACCCGTTAGAGTACATTTAAGAGTATGACTTCACAAAGTCCATGACCTTTTATGCAGAGCTGGTATCAAGGTGTGTACGGTCGGTTGTAGTGGACTTGCCCCGCGAAACCTAATGGCGGGAAATGGATCGCGGCATACGTCCCATCGGATGCATGTGCTTTGAAGGTGGCCTTTTAAAAGAATGGTGTAGGCTATGCTGCCCACAAAGAAGTTTAGCTGGATTCACAGAACCATGGCATGAACGACTGAGGAAGAATTATCTGGGAAATGTTACTTCGATTGACTGATCCGTTGCCAGCAGATGTAAATGTAAACCACAGAGAACACTGAAAGAGCCAGCTAGGCTAGATGCTAGTACAGTGCTGGAAACTGAAATCCGACCCCCTGAGCGGTGCGTTCACTTTCTAGCGGTCTCTATTTTGTAGTGTTACGACCCTGTGTTGGGTCTTTGCGATGTGAGCGCACCGCTCAGGGGTCGGATTTCAGTTGTCAGCACCAAATCTCAACAGCAGTCCGAAGCGGTGGCAATCGTAGTGCAGAATGCGTATGGCGTACCCGTCCCCACGTGTCGCGGTCTTGACCTGTCAGTGCAGCCACGTTCACACCACCCTTGTTGTTAACTGCACCCAGAGCAACACAACACCAACACAATGACATGTATTCCGTGAGGAAACTACCAATTACAGAAACAACAACAGCGGAAGCCACTGCAGCACTACCTACTGGCAGCAGTGCATCATCATCAGCAGCAGCATCTAGTGCAGTAGTGGCTGCACTAGCTGCTGGAGTAGCAGTAGCGGTGGTAATAATCAATAATCATCTTTATTTCAGGATTACCCAAAGGCTGACGCCTATCGGGGGGATCTCCTATTTGTGTATATACAATGAACATTGGAGTTGGTAGAAGCAGTAACAGCCTCAGTCAGCTGCCAGAGTGAGAGATGCATGTAGATAGAGAGAACCAAAGTGACAGATAGACAGAAGGGCGAATGGGCAGACGGACAGGGGAGACGGACAAATGGACAGACAGCCGGACGGACAGATGGACAGCCGGATTGAAAGGCGGACAGACAGAAGGACGGACAGATGGACAAACCGACAAATAGCAAACATACAATGATGTGTTTGCGGCATGGCATAACATAACCTACCTGATTCTCGTTCGATATCAGCAAGCCTGTCTGCCCATTCGTGTGGTGTTACTAGACTGCCGTCCGCAGCATAGATACTCGCTTGATAGTAGTGTCCATTGCTGTACCGACATTACATCATGGGTATATGTCACAAATGCACACACACACACACACACACACACACACACACACACACACGTACACACACACACGTACACACACACACGTACACACGTACACACACACACATACACACACACACATGCATAAACACATTAGCAATAACAAACACAAGACGAATGTACAGAAGGAAAACAAGGATATGCTTGCGTGCAGCTTGAGTTATACGCTACACAATTCTCAGGCGAATGAATTCTAACGTCTGAATTCTACTGTAGCTGTTGCCGCTAGTGGTGTTGCTGGTTGTTCTCTGACCATGCAGTAGATATGCTTACCAAAGGATGACGACATGGTCTGGTTTTTCCGTCATACGCAGCGAGTCTTCCTCTACTCCGGGGACACGGTGACCACCGAATGCATAACTGCAGGTTGCGCACCGTCATAGCAGCAGTCACAGCAAACACACAGCAAACACAGAAACACAGTATACACACATCCAACACTCAGCAATCGTATGAGAGAAGGTCATATTCTAAGTCCTGTAGCGGACATTGAAATCCATTGAGAAGTCAAGCAGCCACGAGGCGCTGGCCTTGCAGCCTCGAGCAGGCGAATGTCCCTGGCTCGAGTCCTGGTGTTCGGACCGGACCCCTGGCCATACCCCTGCCCAGGTCTCTGCCCGGAACCCTGCCCAGACCCCCGTCCAGATCCCTGCCCAGATCCCTGCCCAGACCCCTGTCCGGACCCCTGCCCGGACCCCTGCCCGGACCCCTGCCCGGACCCCTGCCCGGACCCCTGCCCATACCCCTGTCCCGATAGACCCCTGCCCAGACCCCTGCCCAGACCGAGAGATCAACTCACCGATATCCACTGCTGCACATTGGTATCATCTTCATTGTCTTGAAGCACGGTAGCTGTGTAACACAATCATACATACACGCATACACACATCCATCCTTACACACCCATCCACTTCCACTTCCACCTGCCCATCGCGGAAGCGATGACAGCGAACAAGTTATGCTAGACATAGCAACTTGTGCTGGCATTACACCATTCAACAGCTTGCAAGTTTGATGAATTGACCGCCACTAATTTTAACCTGGTCTACACCACACAGCTGATTGAAGTGGCTTCACGCCCATCCATACACAAACATACCCCCCCCCCCCCCACACACACACACACATACCCAGACACACATACACAACAGTGCCATACACGCAGAATGCAAAACAGTTTGCAACAGGTAGTTTAGATACCGCTTGTTTCTTTCTGGTGGGTCAATTATTATTATTATTATTATACGCATTCCCGCGTTGAAGTGTAGGAGCAATATGCTGCGTACACAGCTTCGCTTGTGCAGAATGGCTTGGGTGAGAGGAGAGGGGAGAGAAAGCAACAAGGCAACCAACATCTATGAACTAGGTCACAATAACATGAAGAGAACCGACCTACATAGTTACGCATGATTGCACAAGAATGGAGACGACAGGTGGCTATAATCATTGTGCCACAAAACCGAACCAATTACAAAACGTATTATCCTTGTTATCCGGTTGCGGTTTATCTAATCACGTATTTCAAACTCTATGCCGGTGTGCGTTGAGTTGCAATGTGCATGACAGACGGGCAAGAATGTGTCTGCAGGCTGAGTAATAACACTGACCTTATTCTTCTGATACATCTCCATGAACCTGTAAACATGCATACACACACACACATACATACACACACACACACACACGCACACACACATACACCATGACACACACGTATATAAACAAACATATCAATTTCCTGGCCACACGGCTGAGTACATATATTCTAGCTGTACAAACAAGATTGGTAGGAACTTAGAAGTAGCCACTTCGGCAGTATTAGTGATTTTGTTAGGTTGCTCCTACACGGAACACACGCTTCCATTTTGCCGAGTGGATGGTGTGATGGGCTTCTTGTGTGCTTTAGATGGCAGTCGTGAGTCAGACAAGTCCAGTTTGGCAGGAAGCATGTGTTCCACGCAGGTGCAACCAACTTTAATGTTGGTAGGGTAAACTAAAAGCTCGGCGATGGCACACCGGATATATCCATAGAACACGAGTGTCCACGTGCGCTCATACACACACTCATACACACACATGTGTGCACACACGGGCGCACACGCACACACACTTGCACACACACACACGGGTGCACACGCGCACACACTTGCACACACACACACGGGTGCACACGCGCACCCCCCCCCCCCACCCCACACACACATACCCCCTCCACACACACAAATACCCCCCCCCCCCCCCACACACACACATACCCCCCCCCCCCCACCCCACACACACATACCCCCTCCACACACACAAATACCCCCCCCCCCCCACACACACACATACCCCCCCCCCACCCCACACACACATACCCCCTCCACACACACAAATACCCCCCCCCCCCCCACACACACACATACCCCCCCCCCCCCCCCCGACACACACACACACATACCACCCCCCCCCCCCACCCCACACACACATACCCCCTCCACACACACAAATACCCCCCCCCCCCACACACACACATACCCCCCCCCCCCCACCCCACACACACATACCCCCTCCACACACACAAATACCCCCCCCCCCCCCACACACACACATACCCCCCCCCCCACCCCACACACACATACCCCCTCCACACACACAAATACCCCCCCCCCCCCCACACACACACATACCCCCCCCCCCCCGACACACACACACACATACCACCCCCCCCCCCCCACCCCACACACACATACCCCCTCCACACACACAAATACCCCCCCCCCCCCACACACACACATACCCCCCCCCCCCCCGACACACACACACACATACCACCCCCCCCCCCCCCCCACCCCACACACACATACCCCCTCCACACACACAAATACCCCCCCCCCCCCCACACACACACACATACCCCCCCCCCCCCCCCCCGACACACACACACATACACTCCCCCCACACGCACACACACACATACACTCCCCCCCCCCCACACACATGGCGTAGAACTAAAACTTACACCATGGATTGATGTAGGAGCATGGCGGCCCGATAGCGACGCACGGTGGTCGGCCTTGCCTTGTTTCCGACACAATAGATATTACTGAACACTGCATGGACAGACGAGAGAAACAGATTGCAACACATACATATACATGTTTTCGATTTTGACAGCATGTTACAAGGCGAGGACGCATAGTGCTCCTGACTACAACCATAACCCGGTTGGCAGAGTCCCGATCTTGGTCGATGTTAAACTATTAAGCGAGGCTTCTATAATACCATACATGTCACAACAAAGTGTGTGCCATACATGCACATGCAGCCAGTCCATAGCAGACTCAGCGGAGGACGTTCACGTTCAACGTTCAATCTTCAATGTGTACCGTAAAATTCCGTTAATTCCGCCCCGGGCGTATACTTTGCAGAGCGATAAAAACAGGGCATATATTTGGGCATGGGCTTATTTTAGGGCATGGGCGTTATTTCGGACGCAATCTGCAGAAGATCAATCTATCAGCAACCCACTAGTTTCAGTGAGCCACCATTCACACTGAGCGCGGTACAGGTACATCAAACCACAGTTGGAAATTTGGTCGTAACCAAGAATGTAGCGATAAATTACACTCACCAGGCAGCGGGGTTCTGCTTCGCATGTAGGCCAGCTTCAGCCAGATGTCCTCCAGCCAATTACGTGTTGAGCAACACCTGCTGGGCGCACGTACAACGACAACGGTACAGTCACCGTAACAACATAACACAACACACAACCATGCAGAGGCGATATAGTCAGTGTGCAATGGTGCAGACGCGAACAGCATAACCAGAGCATGATGTACGACAACTGTCACACAACACACAACAGAACCAGAGGCAACACAGTCAGGACATGACGGTATGTTAATACAGTGATATACCAGACACAGATGCACACGCACATACACACAATCGCATGTGTTTGCCCACAATACGCAAGCCCTCCCCCCGCCACCATCACCACCATCACCCTCCACGGCCACACGCACACATACAATCATGATTGCGAGTGAAGCACATGAAAGCCAGCAGCATCGGTACTGACTTCATCTTGAGCCTCTGCTGTAGCTTGGGTCCTTCTTCCTTCTGAAATCTCTGCACCACATCACACGTTGTTGCGTACTGTTCATCCGTTAGTAGAGGTTTGACAGAAATCAGGTATCTGCATGGTGGAAAGAGGGAGCGGTATGAAGACAACATTACACATCAAGATCTGATAACAGAGTAAAACACCACTCATATGTACCCCCCCCCCCCCCCAACCCTCAGACGCCCCCCCCCCCCCCAACCCTGTCTTGGCCGTTTCATTCCTGTGCACTCGGTGTGGTGGCGAAGACAATGGAGGTGTGCATTGCAGGTTGATTCACATGCCTTTACCAGGCATACGGACTGTGCAGTGCAGTTACCTGAAGCTAGTCTTGATCTCTTTCGTTCGGACCAAGCGTCCCCTTTCGCATAGTTCTTATAACACACGTATGGTGGTACACTCTTGCCTCGTTTATCCGGGCGGTCCGGGAGCAGGCACTGCGTAACTTCGAAATATCCCTACCTCCGAATCAATTACACGTTGATGGGAAAAGGCCATAGAATAATTCTAAGGCCTTCTATGGCATGTGACATCACTATTTCCACAAAAGGTGACGAAAAAGAGTAGTAATATTTCCACTGCAACTCGCCCAAAGGGTGCCTGGTAGACCAAAGTGTCCGTAACTTCGGGGTCCGGATAACCGAGGCTATGAGTGTATACCGGTATGCTAACACCACTCACCTTCTGAGAGTAGACTGGAGATCAGGCAACGGTAGTGATGGCAACGCTTCCACGTAGCCTTGGATGCCATGGTTACGAGATCCGCCCACAAACTTCACGGCCAGAGACCAGACCTGCGGGCACAGCAGTCCGGGGGAACAGGCAACACATTGAACAACTGCCTGTACGAGTATGGACTACCAGCGTCACCGCTAAGTCTGTAGCTACAGCATTTCCCCGATTATAAGGCGCACTCGATTATACGTCACACTCCCACTTTCAGGTTTGAACCGTATTGTTTCAATATAGTCAAATCCGTTGATCCAAGAGCTGCAGAGAGTGCTTAATGTCAGAGACAGAGCTTAGTACATAGCAGACTGAGCGGAGGACGTTCAGGTTGGTTGTAACTCTGAGTTTCATGCCGTTAGGCAATCATCAGACAACTGATACTGAGTTGTCTGATGATTGCCTAGCGGCATGAAACTCAGAGTTACAACCAACCTGAACGTCCTCCGCTCAGTCTGCTATGTTTCAATATAGTCATGTAGGTGATGGGATGCCATACTCGATTGTAAGCCGTACCTTTTTCTTAGTCCTTGAGGTTCAGTGAGAAAAAGTGCGACTTACATTCAGGGAAATACGGTAAAATTAATGAAAATACACTATATATTATATATATACTGTGATTTCACAATTTTTCGGTGTACAGTCAGACCTCGCTTATCCGGTCCTCATTTATCCGGATCCCTCGCCATCCGGAAGAAAATCGCTGGTTACCGATGTGCAGCATATGTTATGCATACAACATAACCGGACCTCGCGATCCGCATACCGGTGCAAGATTTTGCGTACAAACTGGTTAAAATGTGTACAAAAAGCTTCGTCTTATCCGGTTGCATGTGGCTTGCAGAAGCTAAAATCAGGAAGTTGTACAAGCAAACGAGGTCTTTGACCTGCTGGGTACATGCAGACAGCACTCAGCTGCATGCACTTGTCATTTTTCTCGCTTGTTTTACACACTGTGCACGCTAGTTGTACTGCATAGGACCCGTCTACATGGTCTACATGTATGTATGACATCACTGCTTTTGACATGCCACATGCATGTACAGTATGTGTGTTCAGTTATCCGGTTACCTCTCCTATCCGGATATTTTTGTGGAAAACAGATCATGTGTGCGGTTATGCGAGGTCTGACTGTACTTCTATTTTGGGTACTTTCGGTGCGTCTGTTTCATACCTAAAATTTCAATACACCGAACAAACACTAACACACATAGTCCAATAGGGCTTGAAAGTGCTACGTCACAGCATAGCAACAATTTCAAAAATTCAAAAATTGGATCCACCTGGATCCAGTTTTTGTATGGATCCAAGCACATTTCAAGCCGTCTTACTCTCAGCAAGGTGATGTAACCAGTGAAACTGACTGATTTGGCTACTGGGGGCGGGGTTACAACTGGTGGCGAAATAAAAGTCACACCTGCATGCGACATGAGTGGGTTGCTATGCACCCACATACTTAGGCAATAGCAAAGTCACACCTTAGTGGATCCAAAAATAGAAATCTGATGTCAACTTACTACTCCCTGGCCGTTTTGACGTCATCACTTTCAAGCCCTATAGGGACCTGCTTCTCTGTACCTAAAATTTCTGTTCACCTAACCGGGCCTGTTGCCCTCATACCGGAAATATTGAGCACCGAAAATTTCTGAAATTAGAGTACTCAGAAGTTGAGGGAAAGGAAGAGGGAAAGTCTGAAGAAAAATTGACTGTCACCGCCAGGAATCGAACCAGGGACCTTCGATTGAGGCCATCAATGCTCTGACCACTGAGCTATGGTGTAGCTGCCGTCCCAGCAGAGACCGTTCAACGTTTTCTTCAGACTTCGAAATTCACACTTCCTGCATCATAGCGTCGTTATCCTTTTCAAAATACAATTCCCTAAACCTGATCAGGGTGCTAGTACATGTGGATGTCAATATTGCCAGAGTGATTTAATCAAGTAAATCAAAATACGAACAGTCATGGCCAAAGAAATCCGACCGACGAGTGAAAAGTAATGCCGCGTTTCCATTTCAAGTACTGTTGAAGTACACCATATCACGTACCTTCCAAGAACCAATCTGAGGCCGTAGGGCCAGCATCAGCCTTGGCACTGCTTTCGGCATGTGGGTCGGATTTCTTTGGCTGCGGCTGCATGGCTATAGAGTTTAGGGCTTCCCCCGCAAAATCGCTCTCTGGCTCTCTCTCTCTCTCTCTCTCTCCTGCCCCCCCCCCCCCCACACACACAAAACTCTGGAGTATCACGACTGTGTTTCTGTGAACAGTGCTGGAAATCCGAATTGCAGAGGTAGAGCGACTGCATGGCGCAGGTGGTTTGAGGAGCCTACGCCGCTATCTCAGCCATAGAAGATTGGCATTTCGCTAAATCTGCAAGGCTATGTTCGCAGCAGACCAATCTAGCTGGTGTGTGTTCATAGAACGTTCGAGTGTGTGCATAGGCAATCTGGCAATCAGCACACTGCATTGTGATCATTGCGTTGCGCGTGACGCTTACCAGAGTCTTCAAGGACTTGGGACGGTATATCCAGCCAGTGTACGTGAATAGATAGGATAGCAGGATGCAGCGCAGGCGCCACAACCACGCCTGCAGCGACGCAAGCACCATGGTCAAAGACGACTTTCTCGTAAGCTGCAACTGTGAACTGCTAGCTTGAATTACTTTGAAGGCAAGTGCGTTGCCCTTCTTTCGAAAGCTCTCACAACTTCCACCAAACTTTGGCTGAGTTCGTAGCTGCTTTTCGAGACGGAGGACAAGCTGAGACTGTGCCTGGGAGGTGGAGTGGTAGCAATGTTTACATGTAGTTTGTTGAGAATTTGTGATCTTAGAGTGTGTTGAAGCGGGGTGTATGAAATGTTCAGAGCGAACGCTAGCTTGCGCTGCTACTACACACAGGGTGACAGGTCACAGGTCAAACTGTCGAGTCGATGCACAAGCAGATCGGTGATCACACGAGCAGTCCTGACTGCAACAAAAATTCTAACACCGCCGGATTGTCAAGGGGATTCTGGCCAAAGTCGCTTGAGTTTAGCCAACTAGAGCGCAATCTGGTGGGGGTTTGTGCAAAGTTCGCTAGAACTTGGACGTATTGGGTGTGATTCGTGCGCTTTTCAGCGTTCCGCGTGCAACAAAAATTTATTAATTATGGGTGAAAGTCGCAAGAATTTCTAGAAGAGACACAGCTCAGGTGACATATCCCGTCACTGGCGTCAGACCAGATGTGTCGACATGCATTCGAAATCGCTCCCTTGCTAGGCCTAGGCTATAGGCCATGCAGGCCTGACACTTGACAGGTGTCTTGTTGTTTCAGCACGTGGGCCATGGGCCATATATAGCATGGGTGCGATGGGGGTCCATTGGGGGAGTGTGAGAGGTCACACAATACAATGAATTGTGTGACCTCGTGACGTTTTGTTTTGCCCAAGTAAAAAAAACGTTCACTGCAAGTAAAGGAATGGAACCAGGGTCCAGTCCAGGGACCTACAGTACGGAGTCATCATGTAACTAAAATAATAATACACTTTTGTACCTCTCCGTATTCACACCAAACTACTAAAGAGGCTGGGATTGCACCTCTCAACAGCTTGCAAGGCTGAAGAACACACACATACACACATGCCACAGCGACAGCACAAAACGAGTCCTCGCCACACTTGCTCCTCAGACTGATGGTTAGCGTCATATAAGCAGAAGCACTAACTCAGTCACACATGTCATGTTATCCACACTGCACTCTGCAGTGCTGGATGGATAACAGTACCACACTGCAGACTACAGCTAGGCCAGGGAGAAGTCACGGTAATTGCACTCCTCACTGCTACAACCTACATACAGTAGAGTCACATGCCAAAGTACTGAGAGCCCAACAAAGTCCAGCCTGAACGCCACCGCCAAAAGTTTAAAACAACTGCAGTGTTGGTTTTCTGGCAGAATCTGGGAGTAGATATGATCCAGTGCGAATTGTTTCTAAGAACGTGCTATAACAACCGGCAGCCAGATTGCTGAAAAATAAGAATGTCCCAGGCTACCTGCTCTGCAACAACGTTCTTGGGCCGGCTTGACGCTACAGCAGGGAGTCCTAAAATTACAACTCCCTGCTCTACAATACTGGACAAATCAGTCACACATCCATGACGAGGGAAAGTAGAGAGACCACCGGAGCAAGTACAAGTAAGGAGATCTCAGTACAATTGAGCAATCGTTGTAAGGCCATCTCAATACGAGCGAGCAATCGTTGTAAGGACATCTCAATACAATTGAGCAATTGTTGTAAGGATATCTCAATAGGATTGAGCAACCATTGTACCTGTAGCAATCGCTGGTGTGAATTAAATACTGCAAATCGGGAATAGAATCGATTCATGGGGGTTCGATATAGGGTCTGGTAACATAGCGAGGTAGCAGCAGCAACGCAAAAATAGAATAAATAGAATAAAAAATAAACCTACGACGGCGCATGCAAAAAGAGTTTGCAGCGCGAGGACACTTTCTCCGCATGCATGAGGAGGTCTGGTGAGTCAAGCTTGTTCAGCGCTGGAGTTTCTATCACCAGCAACTGCAGGTGAATGTGAACAGGGTGCGTAATAACACTCTGCCCACATTCCGGCCGACTAAGTGTGAATTCGGCGGAGCTATCATTGAACTGGTTTTGCGGACTAATCATGGCGTGTTTACTGCACTCAGCTAGAACCGATGACATCGTGATGACGTCATTATCATCAGCACAGACTGTGGATGACGTCATTATCATCAGCACAGACTGTGGATGACGGCACTATCAACAGCACATACTGTGAATGACGTCATTATCATCAGCACATACTGTGGATGATGTCATGATCATCGGCACGGACTGCGGATGACGTCATAGCGCGTGGGGTATCACCGCTACATGGCACGATCTAGGTTAGGACAACGCTGTTGTTGCGCACTCGTGCACGGGTCAACGGCGTCCTTGTGAATCACAGCGGTCACAGAAACACACGCACGGCATCACGTGACATCACAGTGGTTGGAAAACACGCACGGGATATCACGTGACGTCACAGTTCACCACGGACGGCGACGAGTGCACAGACGCCATGCATGCCGATGTTGATGATGCCGCTGTTGTTGCTTTTGCCGTTGCAGTGGTGGCTGCGGTGGTGATGGTATGCTGTTGCTGCTGGCGGGCAAAGTGCTGCTGCAGTGCGCGCCAGAGGGCAGTAATGTTGCCGGCACCGAACCCTGTAGCGCCGACACGTTGGATGACCTCGAGGAAGAACGTCGACTCCGAGAAGAGCGGCTTGGTGAAGGCTTGCATCAGATACCTAAGCCAGAAGAACACAGTGTACAGTACGGCAGGCAGTTCAAACACCATAACACCATAACAGAACGACTGCCTCAACAACGCAATGAAGAGAAGCGCCCGCGTTTCCCACAATCCGCCACCACATAAGCCAATGAACCAAAGAAGGGAAAGGAGTCGAGCCAGTACACACACACACACACACACACACACACACACACACACACACACACACATACCGTAATTCCGCGCATATAAGCCCATGGGCATATATCCGGATATAAGCCCACCTCCGTTTTTAAGCCCATGGGCTAATATTAAATAAACAGACACAAATGCAACTCACATGTCAAGTACTTGTAGAATTTTTCACAAAACGGACTCTTCCTACCATGGTACAGCAGGTCAGTGCAGTTTACCAGTAGAGTATGGTAGACTGACCATGAGCATGGACTTGTGCTTTTTCGTGAACCTTCAAAATTCGAATATTGGCCCATGGGCTAAAAAACAAACATGTTTTACTGGATATTTTATCCCCAAACTGCATTGTTTCACATATAAGCCCATGGGCTTATATGCGCGGAATTATGGTATACACACACACACACAGAGTACAACTTCCTCACCTTGATTCCCCGAGAACGTTTTCTTCAATATCCAGCAGTATGTTGCTATGTTCCAGCTTAGACAAAGTGTCTCCCGGCAGCGAAACGCAAGATTGAGTGACCAGATCGTGACACTGAACACAACATTGCATACAAACACACACACACACACACACACACACACACACGTGGACATACATGTACACACACATGCATGGATGCACATGCACACACACACACACACACACACATTATTAGTTCATGACACATGACATACTTCAAAGAAGTATATAATATACTGTAATTTCACAAATTTTCGGTGTACAGTCGACCTACCCTTATAACGATAACCTCTATAACGATATTTTTCTGCCAAGCCAAATCACTCCATTGACTTGTGTATACAATGCCTTACCTCTATAACAATATTGCTATAACGATATTACCCCTATAACAATATAAAATGGGCTGACCAATCGACATTTTCCATTTTATAACAATATCTAGCAGGGAATACTGTAAATCAACAAATTTTGGCCGGTGAGAAACTTTGGCCGATCTCCAAATGAAACTTTTGGCCGTGATCAAACTTTGGCCGATTGGGGTTCAATCTTGCATCCTTTGACTCCGTGACAAACTTTGGCCTGCGATTTACTTTGGCTAGTTGGCACCAAGCAGCGAAATTAAATCGCCAGCGAAAATTAGTTGATAAACAGTATGTAGAACTCACTATCCAGGTAGGGCAAGCTTCACTTGACAAATCACTGGGACATGACGAAATGCAATGGGGGCACCAGTGGGCACCTTGCTGTGTACACAATGTGATTGTACGTCAGTTTTTATGATATGAAGGGTGTAAAAAATGAACAAAATCCATGCATTATGACGTGTGTGTATGAAATGAACCAGTTACCCCTATAACAATATTACCCTTATAACAATATTTCTTGGTCTGCCGCAAATATCGTTATAAGGGTAGGTCGACTGTACCTAAAATTTCTGTTCACCTAACCTGGCCTTCTGCCCTCATACCGAAAACAATGAGTACCGAAAATTTCTGAAATTAGAGTATGCAGTACTGTCGGGTTCGGGAGAACAGGGGGGGCATGTGGCCTCGGCCGTTCTTATTTTTCATGTACAGCTAAACACATGGACAGACAGACAGCCAAACGTACGGACAGACAGACAAACAGGTGGACAGACATCCAAACCCATAGACAGACAGCTAAACCTGCGGACAAACAGCCAAACTCATGGACAGACAGCCAAACCCATAGACAGACAGACATCCAAACCCATGGACAAACTGGTGGACAAACAGGTGGGCAGCCAGCCAAACACCTACCTGCGAGTAAAAGTCTGGCGGAATGAAGATGAACTGGGCGTGTGCCTGGCGCATTGTCTCGATGGTTGAGAAGATATCGCGTGACGTGAGACCAATGTGCTGGATTCCCGGGCCGCCGTGATCGTTTAGGAACAACTGAACCTGGTTAGCTCCTGGACAGCAGCAGTGTGGGGGCAATCAGAACAAGAAACACAGTAATAGCCTCAGCATCACCACCACCAGCTTGACCACCAACAAAAACAGCAGCAACACCACCGCCAAGACCAATGACAGGCGCACCAGACACAGCAGCAACTGTAGGTGCGTGACAAAAACCTGGGTGCGGCTCATACTCAAGTGCGGCTTATCGGGAAATACGGCACTTCAAAAACAAAACAAAAAAACTGCTCCAATCTATCCAAACATACCGTCAGTGAGGGGCTCAGCAAACACTAGCTTCACGCCAAGATGGCGATCAGATGATGATGATGATGACGAAGATGATGACGAAGATGAATTGCTTGTTGATGATGTCATTGTTGATGTCGTTGGCGGGGCATTGCGCTGGTCTGGTGCCAGTACAAGTTGGGATTCTCGACAGCGGAAATAGTCCATTGCCTAGTCCAGACAGACCGACATACACACACACATACATGCAGACATACATGCAGACACAGACACACACACACACACACACACACACACACGCATACACAATTACACAAACGCGTCATGAGCACTGTGCAGAGAAAGGCTAAGCTGCATCCATCAGATATCACTCCCACCAAGGCTAACACAACCACACACGCACACACACACATACACACACCATGCACCATGTATACGCCCGTCGCAAGAGAAGCACGCAAATCTGCAAATGCACTGGATGTGCACCCACAGATTTTCTCTTATAGCAACGATAGCGGACAAGATCTGAATGAGACAGATCAAGATTAGCACCAGATAACTGTCCAATCCACACAACCTGCCATGTGAATCGACCACCAATGCACACCTGGTCTACACCACACGGAGTACATCGGCATAAAACGGCCAAGACAGTCACCTACACACACCCTACACTTGCTGGGGTAACCAGCATAGACAGCACGCTGCTTTGATAGAAGCAGACACTAGATGCACTGGCACCTTGAAGTGAAATTGGAGTTACTGTACCACCAGCCTCGGCTACTGAGTACTGGGAACCCAGAGCCAACAGATATACCAACCACCTCAGCCATGAAAGCTATTATAGTAACGACACACTGGATTGTAGAGCCGAAACTAGTCTAACTTCCAAATGAACAGACACACACACGCACACACACACACATACACACGCACACATACACACACACAAATACACACACACACGCACACATACACACCCACACACAAATACACACACACACACACACACACACACACACACACACACAGGTGTGTACCTTTAGACGCATGCCAACGCTTCCTGCGGCCGAGTCAACAATGAACCCGCGCTCAGCTTCCTCTGCCTGGTTGATGCTGAGGCGCTGAAAACCCAAACAGGTAGAAAACCACTGCACGCACTCGTCCAGCATCCCTCGATGACAAGCATACGTCACGTGGTCACATCCATACGTCAACTCGTTTCGGCTGCATTCCAGCGAGCGCTGTTCCTGGCATGTTTCTCCAGTCCTGGCTGTTTCGCAACAGCACGCCACGTCCTCATACTCGGGTAAGAATACACCGTTATAATCCGTCGTGTTCACGAATTTTAGAGCGCTGTTGCCGAACGGTGTTCTGATTTCAGCCACTTGCACACGACCAAATCGATCCTCAATATTGGTTGGTGCCACCAAAGGCTCACCTCCCGCCCGAACGGCCCGTTCGAATGCTTCTGTTACATCTTCCACAATAAAACAGAGAGACGCTACCGTGTCCACAGGGTACAGGGAATGCCTTTCGCGGAACAGAAACACCGTCCTTTCAGATCTGACGGCAACATGCTCAGATTTCTGCGCGAACGCTCGAAATCCAAACGTCGAACAAAATTTATTGGCTGAGCTTGCAGCACCTCTGCATAGGACCTCGACGTGATGGAGATCCACGATAGATGAACAGCTGCGTTCAGTCATGGCCAAGAAACATCCCAGGCACTCAGCCAACACAACTCACTCACAGCAAGGCTGGATCAGTTTCCAAAGTCCCCAATACAAATCAAGAAAACAAAATAAAAAAGCTGAGATATCCACCTTCTTTCAATCTTTGATCTTCCGATTGCATGATTTTTTTCTGATTTCGCAACCTGCTTGAACTCCATGGCAACACACCGAACATTTATTTTTTCGTTATTTTCACGTGACGTGGCACGTGCTTGGTACGTGCACGCACTGCCACGCAGCGCAGAATAGTTTTCGAAAAAGGGCGGGAATAGTCACGTGCCCACGTGGTCCGTTTTCGAAAACAAGTCTAAACAAGTGGAAGAGTGAAGTTTTTGTTTTGTTTGCTTTTGAAATCTTCTCATGAGCACGAAGACTTTGTCTTTCAGTTTCTTTGCAGTTTCGTCTCCTTCTTTGAAGAAACGTGTTGCTTCTGAGCCGTCAAGATGGCGTACGAGGTGACCTGTTCGCTGTACTCAATGATTGTAGCGCCGCTGCTGTGCCAAGTAATTGGTATGCTGTGGTACGGCCCGCTGTTTGGTAGCCAGTGGATGGTCGAGGCCAAGGTGGCGCAGCCCAAGTCTCCGCCGGTCCTGCCGTTCGCGCTGACCATCGTGTCCAACTTCATCACGGCGTTCCTGATGATCAACATCCATCACATCCTCGGAGTGGCCACGCTTCAGCAGGCATTCCTCGTTGCCTGGGTTTACTGGGTAGCCACCGTGTCGCTGCGCATTCCTCACTACGCCTTCTCGGCCAAGTCCCTTCGCCTGTTCCTCATCGACAGCGTGTTCGATGTAGTGATTTCCATTGCTGTGTCGGCTGTTGTGTTCAAGCTGCACGCGCTCAAGCTCTAAACGAAAATGGTGACGTTCCACGTGCTGCATCGTACATGCACTTGCATCGCCCGACACACCCAGGCCCGAGTGAGTGTATTCGAGTGCCTAGTGTTTTTCGATGACGTCATGACTTCAGTATTATTCCATAGATGTGCTAGGTAGCTGCAAACATATTCAGGTTCCCAGTCCGTTACGATTACTGAGTATAGTGCATACATGTACATGATTTTACACACCTTACACAGTATTATCAAGAGTCCATAAACAAGAGTATGCAACTGTGATCTCTTTTCTATGGGCCAGATGCGCGGCGCGCTGCCTTCATTACATCATTCAGCTGCAGTCCGCGCCCTGCGGAAAATCAAACACCACACTTCCCCTCTGGTTTGAAATGAACTTTCGTACGGAACTGGAGTTCACGCGCCAGAATTTAGAGATAGCGTAGGTACTGGAACGAATCGAACAAAAACGGATGGGCTCGTACGAGAAATTGTGAGTTTGAATGCATGCTTTCAGAGCGTGATGAAGGCAAGTTACGTAATGAAGGCAGCGCGCCGCGCACTGACCCATAACCACAGTTGCATACTCTTGTTTATGCACTCTTGGTATTATGCATGGCTGTACTCGTGCTACAAGCGCTAGTGCATGCATTGCGATGGAGATAATACGTACCTATGTCATATGTGTCACTGTCTGTCACGGCTCTCAGCTCTGTACTCTAGATCTACCCTGCTGTATGTTTGTGTAGAGTGTGTCTTGTGACCCTGTAAGCTGTAACTGCATAACAGCGTTGTAGCGATTCCTTGATGACATACCACGTTTTTGTTTGTCTGAGTTGTATTACATCATTGCTAGTATTCATACAGAACAGTGTTCTAGTGATCAGTGATCACTCCCTCACCAGTTTGATGTGATGTCATACTGTCAGCTACAGTACCGTAAAGTACCGTTGATCCTCCCCCTCTCTAATCCCCCCCCCCCCCGTCAATTTTCGACTTGTGAAGCGACCGGCGTATACAACGAAATACGATGTTGAACCGACGCATGCACTGCTGTACACAATATGTCCCAATCCAAGATGAAAATGTGCACAATTCAGCACATCGAGTCTGATCCTCCGCGTTGTTGTACATCGTACTGCACTTGACAGCCTTGATCTAATTTCCGCCCCCTGCCGAAAACCCAGGTGGGAAGCGACATGGCGTGGGGGGGGGGGGGGGGGATCAACGGTATTTTACGGTACTGTCAGTAGAGCCGTGTGCCCAAGAACGTTGTTTCCAAGGGGTTGGCCTGGAACGTTCTCATTTTTCAGCAGTCTGGCTGCATTCTTATAGCACTTTCTTGGAAATAATCCGTACTGGATCTTGGGCTCTGCGTTCTCTACTACCGTAAAGTACTGTTGATCCGCCCCCTGTCGATTTTCTACCTGTGAAGCGACATTGGCGTACACAACGAAATACAATGTTAACCGACGCATGTTCTGCTGTGCACAATACATGCGAGTGCAGGATGAAAATGTGCACAATCCAGCATTCCAGGTCTGATCTTCTGCTTTGTTGTACATCGTACTGCACTTGACAGCCTTGATCTATTTCCTGCCCCCTGCCGAAAACGAGCTGGGAAGCGACACGGCGTGGTGATGGGGGGGGGGGGGGGGAGATCAAAGGTACTTCATGGTATAAGACTTCTTGCCTTGCCAACTAGAAGTTCTGGCCAGTGAAATTTAAATTTGACCTGAATATAGCTACAGCGCTAAACCCGGTCGCTACAGGACACTACTGTAGTGCATGCACTACCGTGCACACTGCAACACACTACCGTGCACACTGCAACACACTACCGTGCACACTGCAACACACTACCGTGCACACTGCAACACACTACCGTGCACACTGCAACACACCGCTACTGTCTACTGTCCTCGTAACGGTGGATATCTCTCGCCAGCATTTTTTAAAAAGCTTCCCACGAGATTGGGCTGTGTTGGATGCGTTGTATTTTCTACATAATAGACACCCTTAGCAAAAAACGTTATGTTGTAACGGTATTATCGTAAGGGGGAAAATACCGTGATTCGGGTTCGACCATTAGCAAGATGCACGCTATTTTTAGTACGCTGTTGCCACGAGAATAGCTTTGATCTCGCGCGGTACAACCATTTTTGTCACCATATACGCTATACAAGGTGAAATGCGTACGGACTATGCAATATTTGGCCAAAACACTTACCGTTGGTCACAACGATAAATCAGCCCCCATAACGTTTATACGCTGCAGCTTCAACGCTATTTGGGTGATCAAGGTACGAGTACCGTAAAAAATAGCGTTACCGTTGTTTGCTAAGGGTGTCTATTATAATATAATTATGTCTGCAAAACGGAGATCGAGAGAGAGAGGGTGAGTGTGTGTGTGTGTGTACCGAGTCTACTACCGACATCATCCCCAGCTTTGAAGTCGATGCTCTCAACGACCTCGGGATATTTTTTACAAAAACACACCATTCTGACGGCACAAAGCAGCAAGGCAGAGTAATAGAGTATGTGATGGGTTCCCTAGTCTGTATGTACATTCAGTAGACAGTAGGACTGCACACCATCGGCATCATGAGCATTCCCGTGGCTATGCTGTGTTTTATACGGTGTGTGTGGTACTGCTGACAGGAATACCAGCTCTCTTCCTGACATGCGGGCGAACGGGGTCTGGGCTATAAGAAAGCCCAGATGTGTGTGTGTGTGTGTGTGTGTGTGTGTGTGTGTGTGTCCCATAGACCAGAGACTCTGATGAAGAGATTGCACCGCAGTCGGCAGCAGCACTTATGCATGGATAATAATCGAGTACATAACCCCATGTGCTCTTGCCTTGGTGATACGGAGAAAGGCAAGGACCAGGGAGTAGTAAAGTACCGGTATTTTACTACTCCCTGGCTAGGACAGTGGCAGCAACAACAATACACATCGAGGTGTGACGAGCCAACACTATCAACTGGTGTGGGAGAAGAAAGAACATAATTATTATGCACGTCACCCTGTTGTCTAGAGACAATGCGAAAATATAATGCGGGTGATTCTCGGAAAGAAAAGTAACAAATTTCGTAAAGAGACGCAGACACAAGCGGACAGAGCTGAAGACGCGCTCGTCACAAGGAAACACTGACTATTTAACTAGATGACCAAAGCAACTCACCCGCCGCATACAAGACGCTAACGGACACAACGAGTGCAGGGCGTCCTTCGTGAATAATTATGAAAATTATAGAATCATCAATATTTGAAATTACATCCGTCCAAAAGCTAAGCTTGGCAAAAAAACTAGAAAACATCACAAGACTGCTCACACAGACAACCAATATGCATGTGTTGCCTGATGCATTGGGTGCCAAGGAATACATCGTACAGAAACAGAAGACCACGCGACATTGCGGTGCAGGGCGCCGGGAATCCGCCGCAAGTAGAAATAGCACACTGATGGGTCACTGTGAACATGTGTTGCACAATCATGAGGTCATCGTGAACGTGTGTTGCACAATCATGAGGTCATTGTAGCCACCGGAATACCATGCGGCTGCATAAGCAGAACAACGCGCATATCACCACTTGCACCAGTGACGCAAACGATGCTGGAAATACAACAGCAACCCGATGACATCATCATATCAAACACCTTGTCCTAAATGACATCATTACCTGCTGAACAGGCATACAGCAGCAGGACTGCAGGAGCAGGCACATGGAAATATGACGTCATGACTGCCGTTGTGAGACGTGGTGGCCAGGGACGGTTCAAACTTCAAACCCACTCTAACATCGTCCACTAGGAGGAGGAACCGACCGCACGCAGAACAAGCACCGGGTACTCGGCGATGTGGCAGCAACGGCACAGCTAGGAAAACGGCGGAGCATGACGGCTACTCCACCGCTAGGTACGGCATGGCATGACGACAGGGTGCCCGGCGATGGGCCGAGGTGACCGTAATATGAGTGTAGTAGGGAGTGCAGAATGTACTCTCCGAGAGAGATGACCTCAAGTCGACATGCGGTAACAGTCTCAAGTAGAATGGCAGCAGACACAGTACGTATACACAGTGGAGAGAGTGGTGGGCGAGCGAGCAACGAGGAAGACACACGTGAGAAAATTGTCGATACAAAGCTGAAAGCACCTAGAAGAGAGTACAAAGTGGACGCACGGTCTGTGAGCGTAGTAGCATAGCGTACACGGTGATCAAGCACGCCACCACACCACCACACCACCACGCCACCACACCACCACACCACCACACCACCACACCACCACACCACCACACCACCACACCACCACACCACCACGCCACCACACCACCACACCACCACGCCACCACACCACCACACCACCGCCATGCTGCTGACGGGAATAACTGAAACATACTAAGAGTCTGGTTCGGTGGCTACGGTGTAACGGTCCCTCACGGCAATCGATGCAAGTGCACAGACACACGACAGACGCATGCTCGTAGCTTCGGTTGCAGCACACATTGCTAGCAGCTACGGACAGCATGTATCGTAACGTCTTCTGCACGCGAACAAACGGAATCAGTTGCCAATACGAGTCACCAACCAACACACACATACGTGCGTGATGTCAATACAACACCAACACATTGGATCGTCCATCAGCCAAGACCCGAGTGTCCATCAGCCAATACTCGAGTGTCTGCTACTCAAATTGCACGCACTCCAGTCAAGCAGTAGAGGTTGCCTGGCAGCCTTGATCAATGGCTAAACTGAAAAGTCCCATATCACAAAATATAATGTCTCGGCTATCACACACTTGCTGTGTTGCTGATTGGGTGATGGCGAGAGGGAGAGAGAGGGAGTGTGTGTGCGCTGGTGCAGTCTAGACGGCTACCTGCGGCTCCGAGAGGTCTCCGTGCACTCTCAGACGGTACAGGCACGTGTAGTCTGAGTGACCGTGATTGGACGTGACGTTGAAGCGCACGTAGCGCACGACATTTGGAGACGACTGAAAACACGCAAACAACACAATGGCAGAAGCGGATAACAGAGCAGAACTTAGCCAGCAATAGAGTGCAGGGAAAAGCATGATACATGTATATAGCCATTCTAATAGCTAGTACGAGGATACCTTGAAGAAGTCATCTGTCACGCAAAACTATTGCAAATAGTTGAAATACAAGTACCCCGCCCACCTACAACACCACATGCACGCATCCACGACACCACACACACACACACACACACACACACACACACACACACACACAGGTACACGTACAATGCTGCATACGCGCAGACACAAGCAAAATGTGCGTGCACACACACACGCACACACGCACGCGCGCACACACGTACACACACACAGTCAGACCACTAACCTGTACGGGGAATGTCTGAACAGACGGACCGTCCAGCTTGTACTCAAAGTCACCCAATGAGTCACCATCAACACTGGTCTGCTCAGAAAGAGCCTGAAAGCACAACATAGAAACAGCACCAGAATCAGAGTTAAAGAGTCAGTGCTCGTTCAGACCTCTGCCTAATGGAATTTGAACATGGACTCATCAAACATTTGTAAAGAGTATTGAGTGGCCGCTGAACTGCAAATGCTGGGCTCTGCATGGGAACATGCACTAACATACTGCTGACTCTGCTGAGAGAGGATTTGCAGCACTGTACATGTACGTAGTTTCAGAGTCACAGCGCCTTCTTTGGCCTCGACGTTTAGTCTCAACAAGTGACAGCATACCCTGTGGGAGGGATACGCTAGACAAACTCTCTCTCTCTCTCTCTCTCTCTCTCTCTCTCTCTCTCTCTCTCTCTCTCTCTCTCTCTCTCTCTCTCTCTCTCTCTCTCTCTCTCTCTCTCTCTCTCTCTCTGGCTCTCTCTCTCTCTCTCTCTCTCTCTCTCTCTCTCTCTCTCTCTCTCTCTCTCTCTCTCTCTCTCTCTCTCTCTCTCTCTCTCTCTCTGGCTCTCTCTCTCTCTCTCTCTCTCTCTCTCTCTCTCTCTCTCTCTCTCTCTCTCTCTCTCTCTCTCTCTCTCTCTCTCTCTCTCTCTCTCTCTCACACACACACACACACACACACACACACACACACACACACACTAAACAAACTCACGACAACAGAGAATGCCCGGGGAGCGGAGGTACGTTTGCCATCGGTGGTCAGTGAGGCTGGTATGTGATCGACGGATACGTGTGTGACGCGGATGTCAGCCGACAGGATCAGAGTGATGTGGCCGCTCGTTCCACTCAGGGGCCAGCAGTTGCCGGGCAGGATTTCCGGCTGAGCACGATACGAATATTGGAGACAGCACACAGCACCAGACAAAACAAAGAACATGACTGTACAAGAAGAAAGTGATGCAAAAATCACTACAGACATGGGAGGTTTAGCCTGGAAATACAGACATGGGAGGTTTAGCCTGGAAATACAGACATAGGAGGTTTAGCCTGGAAATACAGACATGGGAGGTTTAGCCTGGAAATACAGACATGGGAGGTTTAGCCTGGAAATACAGACATAGGAGGTTTAGCCTGGAAATACAGACATGGGAGGTTTAGCCTGGAAATACAGACATAGGAGGTTTAGCCTGGAAATACAGACATGGGAGGTTTAGCCTGGAAATACAGACATGGGAGGTTTAGCCTGGAAAATTGTGGAATACAGCACCACAGTAGGTGACATGCTGCTCTACGTTTCGGGAAAGCGACGCGAAGAATCCTGGAAACTCTCTTCGCGTTCCCGGTACGTAACCCGCTCTGCTCTACGTTCACGTAGAGAAATCACGTGGAACGTATACTGGGAATTTCCCCTGCCAAATTTGGCAGTCTTCTACTTGCATTCGAAAATGATACCCAGCAGATCCATACACAATTTCTTTGCGCGTGCCACAACCATGACAACGTAGAGAACCTTGTCTACACGTAGAAATCTGGACCCAGAATACGCGAAACCGTAGACTCTAACCCAGACACCTGCTCTCTACGTGATCTCTCTACGTTTCATGTATAGCAGAAACTTTCTGATAATAAACCTCCGGCCCATGCCAAATATGACAGTACAGGATACATACAGAGGTGCGAAATCTCAAATCTACTAACGTTCACTCTTAGCATTGCATGCCTACAGAGTGCCACTACTCACCGAGATAGCCAGACGTGGCGGATAGGACAATGAGAAGAGACTGAATCCGAGCAACTTCATGCGCACACCGGGATCAAATGACGGCGATGTTCCTTCAATGAACACTTGGCCACCTGGAAACGAGATGGAAATGAGATGGAATGACGAAAAGCGAGGTCAACACAGCCTCTACTCAACACCTGCACATCCTCAAGCACACATACATGTACACACACACACACACAGAGACACACACACACACACGCACACACACGCACACACTAACCCTGTGCTTCCATGGCGTAGTCATAGCGACCAATACGATCGGCTGCATACTCGTCGATGGACGTTGTTATCATCTCAGATACGTCCTGAAAAAGAGGGAGAGAAACGAAATACGGGGATGGCATCCAGGCACGGTTCAGCATGCGCTGTATAGTTCAGCATGTGCTGCATTTGATGCTTTGACACTTGAAGACAAGGCGTTCCTATGGATGCACAGACGCCAGCATGACAGACACTCATGTGCGGCTTGTGAAGGATCCCTCCCTTTAGTAGTGGAGTGGTCTAGGCGTGCGCCAAGAAGCGAAAAGATCAAAGACCGCTGGCTACACTTCAGTAAACCCAGTGACGAACGCCTCTGAGGCAGCAACAATGGCAGTGACAGCATCAGCAACAGAACACCCATGAACTTACGTCACGAGTAAGGCCATCTTTACTTGCTTCACGCACTGCTTGACCAGCTGAGGGTGTTACAAAAAAAAGAGAGAGACACACACACAGAATTTTACTCAAGGCGTACACTGTTGCAAAGTATAATCTTGTGATACGTGCAGCAACAGGAGCAACTCTCTTTGCCAGTAAGCCGTACGGTACGTCTGACAATGTCAGTGCTGCTACTAATTGTTTCATCCCTACAACCAGCAATGTTGTTGATACCAAGTCGGTTGTTTTTGATGCAGCAGTAGTACAATGTCATGGAAGACTTCACTACTTGTTGCCGGATCGTGGGCAACACCAATGATTAATGCTTATGGCGAATGCTGATGGTCAATGTGTAATGCTGACGGCTAAAAAAAAAGGCCAATGCGTAATGCTGGTGGGGATTAGTAGCACACGGTACAATACACTTACGCTTCTCTTGTGCAGCGGCAGTCACTGGCAGTGTGGCAACCTCTTGCTTGACCAGGTCCCGGAAATCTACACCCACAGCAGCACCAGCAACAGTAATGACAACACACAGCAGCAGCAGGGAGAATAAAGATTCGAAACAGCAGCAACAAACAACAGCAACAGCGACAATGACAAAAGACAAAAAAACACAGGTCAATGAGACAAACGAGGGTGCATAGGATGATAATAGCATTACGAATATCATCAGGTCGCATCGTTCTTGGAAATCGTGCTTCACTGCACCACTGATAATAATTACAAATCAAGAACTCTATGTTCATGAGTGTAACACATCACTCAACAGCACTGTGCCACAGCTTTCGCAGACACTACTAAAATAAAATACAAGAACTCCATGAGGTTTGGTGCACAGGAAGCAACAGTAAAGACTAAGAATATCTAGCAAGACCGCCCTTGGCCTACGGTCAGAGCTAGTTGCACAACAGTGCAATAGTTACACCCTACCATAAACAAACTCTAAACATCTGCAAACAGTATCCAGGTGTTGGCCACACCAGCACTAGCATTACCAGTACCACCATCACCACCACAACCATCACCACAACCATCACCACAACCATCACCACTACCAGCACTACCACCACCACTACCAGCACCACCATCACCACTACCATCACCACTACCAGCACCACCATCACCACTACCATCACCACTACCATCACCACCATCACCACTACCATCGCCAGCACCTGACATAACAACTACGCTTACCTGAAGACAACAGGTCCAACAGTTGTTGCTGTACACAACAACAACGAAGACGACGACGACAACAGCACCGCCACCAAGAACAAGAACAAAATGAGAAAAATAACTTTAATTGTCTGCGTAGTCAGCTATGGGATATCCTTTTTCGTAATCCGTTTACCAGTGAATCACAGGCAACGATTTATCCTTGCAAACAAAGAGTTAGAACAGACTACTAGACGAGCCACCAACTTAGTATGTGTACTTCGAAATACAAACTACAGTCCATTCATAATAAGATGGACTTCAAGCTTTTGGCCATAAATGGGTCAAACTTTGATTTTTTCAGAATTTCTTTCTGCAAACCCCAATGGAATCCTCTTCCAATTCTGTTTCTGAAGTCAATTACTCCAAAAAGCAAGCCCTAACAAGAATAGGATACTCTAATTTCAGAAATTTTAGGTGCTCAATATTTTCGGTATATTAAAAGGGCAAAAGGCCAGGTTAGGCGAACAGAAATTTTCGGTACAGAGAAGCAGTTCCCCATTGCCTGGACTATGCGTGTAAGTGTTTGTTCGGTGTATTGAAATTTTAGGTATGAAACAGATGCACCGAAAGTACTGAAAATTAGTGAAATTACAGTATCGGCCAGGGTTTTCCCCAAAAGCACTGAAGTCGGAAAAACCATGAAAATCCAGGCCGTTTGACTCCGCCTGCAACAGTGCATTGTGCGGTTCGAACCACAGTTGAGGTACCTTTTCTGGACCCTTTTTCAAATTTCAAAATTCCGCAGCACTGTGTACAATAAAATCACGAAAACTCGCCAAATACGGGAGCTCGCCAGAGCCAGGGCCCATCTTTTTATGAATGGACCGTAGAGAGACTCATACTCCACAAACTTTAACACCCCCCACACCCACACAACACTCCAATGCCCGTTGTAAGTCACCTTGCAGTCCGGAATGGAAGAGCAGAGCGAGGCGGACGCGGTCGCATAGCGCTTGTCCAGCCATTCGTGAACGTCGCCAAACTCAGCCTCGTCCGTCGCCAAGCGCTTCACAACAGCTGCAGCAATGGCCGCCACGTCATCTTTGCTGAGAAGACTGGCACGAAGCTGAGCGGTGTCGCTCGTTACTTGCTCGGCGTTCTGCTGCTGAGAAGTTTGCAAGTTTGTAATCTGAGACGTCAGGTCAGTAAGCGATTGCTCAGAGACTTTGTCGGAAATCTGAGATGATGATTCCTTCTGTTCAGATTCAACAACCTAGGATAGGCGAAAGAAAAACAAAACAGCCGACGGACACTAAGTTTTGTCTTATCAGACGCTGACTATGCCGTGCATGCAAGAGAGAGAGAGAGAGAGAGACAGAGAGAGAGAGAGACACAGAGAGAGAGACAGGCAGACAGACACCACCAGGGCACAAAGCCACAAATGCCAGGTTGCCATCCTTCTGCCACAGCCAGCACCGGCTATTTCCCCGAGGTTGTGAAACAGCCCAACGCACCCACACCCACACCCAGACACAAACACACCCAGACACCCACACAAATACACCCACACACCAAAACAACAAGCTCACCTTCAACAGTTTCTCGACGGCATCCAGCCTATCCCGCAGCGTAGCCTCAATGGCATCAACCTTTTGCTGAACAACTTCCTCCGACACACCAGAGCTGTATTCGGTGGTGGATGCCGTTGGTGTAGCAGCAGCAGCAGCAGCAGCAGCAGCGGCGGCGGTTTCCTGTGAGATCTTGTCAAGTAAACGCTTCTCCACGCTTGCTATCTGCGCATCTAGTGATGTCTGACTGGTGCTCAACGTGGCGAGACGATCGGAAAGCTGTGCCTGACGGGTGTCCTTGTCAGCAAGCTACGGGAATACGTACGTACGTACGTGCACACACACACACACACACAAGCACACACAAATGCACACCATACATATGTACAGAGACACACAAACTCGTTGGCGCTATTCACAACGACTTACCAACACTCTAAGACCTACAGTATCCAGTTTGTCCAAAAAGAAGTAGATGATTATATGGTTGAATCGTTGATATTGCACACAGTGACATCGGACAAAGCATTGGCAGATTAGCCCCACCCCCCACACACACACATACACACACATACACACAGAGCTACAGCTACACAGAGATCCTTACCTGTTGCTTGATACTGGCTTGCAGCTTTTCCAGCTCCTGCTTTAGGTGATTGTCATGACGATCAACGGCCGCACTCTGCTGAGTGGTCACATGATCCTTCAACTGTGCCTTGACCTGTAACCATGGCAGCAATAGCAGTAGCAGTAGCAGCAGCACTATCAGAGTTGGAACCAGCACAAGAGTGATGCCTATATTCGTCTACGGAGTCTCCACTAGCACGTCAGTCGGATACCGAAGGAAATATTCGCAACAACTAAGGCTTGAGAGGAAGAGATAGAGAGTGCCAGTGGGGATGGAGAGAGAGAGAGACCCGCCCAAATAACAAAAAGCCTCACCTCTGTCGACTTGCTATCAATAGTGGAAGAGAGACGCTTGTCCCAATGTTGATGTGCCCGAGTAGTTGGTTGTGTCAGCACTTTCATCACAGCTTCCTCAACATCAGACAACAGCTAGTACACAGAACACGGACAGAAATCAAAACCACTACTGTAAGTCAACCAATATTCGGAGCTATGATGAAGAAAGGAAAAGGACAACATGTACGAGTTATGACAAACTGTCCACCAACGTAACCAGATCGTATACAGTCAGCGAGTGAGTGCAACATGTTGTCCTTTTCCTTTCTTCATCATAACTATATTGGCTCACCATCCGAGTTCAAAATATTCGGAGCATATTTATTTTAGGCTATTTTCGGGCCTGATCATATTTGGCCGAAAATTTGTTGCAGCCGAAATTTTGTTTTGCAAGGTTCAGTGTGACAGTGCATACAGGCAGCAGCAGTACAGGCCAAAACGTATTTAAGCCCTGGGAGGCCGAAAATTTGAATGCGCCCGAAAATGTGCAGACTTACAGCAGTTGAATACACACGAACTCCTCGCTGTGCACTAACAGACAGTGCATGTTTTGTTACACATAGCCAGTACTACCAGTACTACTGCACAAGCAGGAAGTTTAGAAGGTGAATAATTTCCTGACTGCACGCGTTCACTTGGTTTACATGCTCCAGTACACAGTCTGGCTCAATATAATATTTTTCAACATACAGTACAGGGTCACATCTGCTAACCGGGCACATGCAGAATAACATGCCTGTCAGTGGCCAGTGCCAGTGCTGACAACGACAACGCAACTCACTTCTTTATGACTAGACTGGATGCGTTGATCAACCTGCTGTGAGTGTTCGCGTAGCTGTGCATTCATTACGCTGGTGATGATCCTGCGCAGCTCTGCTTCGCTGACCTGCACATACACACACACACGTACACACAAGCGTACACACAATAGGAACATAAGCGAAACGACGTAATCCACAACCACAAAAACGTGAGCAACTTCCACAGCACTGCCACAACACCAGTACCGCCACCATCACAAATAATCACATACATTTGATGTTGAGAGATTGGCGATGCTGTCCTGAACAAGGTCTTCAGAAACAGCTGGTGCTTGTGTCGTTGGAGTTGCTGATTTCTCTACGCGTGACAAGAATGCGATGCCTGACAGAGAGAGAGAGAGAGAGAGAGAGAGAGAGAGAGAGAGAGAGAGAGAGAGAGAGAAAGAGAGAGAGAAAGAGAGAGAGGAGGGTTAACTGAATTTTAGGTATGTGTTGCGAATACAAGTTATAAAACATCAAGCTATTCACCAAAAAGACAAAGGTTCATAGGTTTCCTTACACCCTTGCACAGGAAATCGGGGACAGGCATGAGATGTGGTGAAGTGGTCATCCAGTAAGTCATAAAATAATCACCACCAGTCTATAATCTGCAATGCCAAGTCCCTGTTGCACTGGCCGGGCATATGTGTGTGCGTGTGGGCGTGAGAGCGAGGAAGGGGGGGGGGGGGGGGGGGGAGATAAAATCCACAAAACGGAGCCAGCATAGCCAACATCAAAAGACTTGAAATACACAATGCCAACACGATAAAGCAACCGAGGTGTAGTCAAGCCGCAATGAAGACTTGAAATACACAATGCCAACACAATAAAGCAACCGAGGTGTAGTCAAGCCGCAATGAAAGTCGCCCTTACCGAGAATGAAGATGAACAATGCGGCCAGAACCAATATCGCAAACTGAACAGACACACACAGACATACACACACAGACAAACACACAGACACGCACAGACACACACAGACACATACACACACACACAGACACACACACACACACACACAACTTGTAGTTGCTCACTGCCAAGCGGGTCTCCCCTTGGGAGAGGGGAGAGAGATTCAGAAGAAATGTTGGAAAGACTACTGCCAAGCGGGTCTCCCCTTGGGAGAGGGGAGAGAGATTCAGAAGAAATCTTGGAAAGATGACTCAATA